TTTTTTCAATTTTATTATTATTATTTTTTTAAACTTTTATTCATCTTTCATGTATTTATAGCTCAAATGTTGCGAAGGGGTTCTGGAACTCAAGGAAACGTGCGCAGTTGATTTTCTCCCCAATACAGCATATACAGTTTCAACTGTTTTTTGACTAAATAAATAAAATAAAATATTGTCGGCCCTGGTAAAGAAGAAGTAAATAAATATTGTACCAATATATACTAAATTTGTTTCATCTAACTCGTAGTGTAGTCAAAACCCATGTGTTGAGGCTGCTTTTTTTGAAAAATCAATAGATGCCAAACGTCAGTTTGTTTGACTGTGGAAAACTCTAGAGCCCTACTCCAAAATTGATATTCTACGCTTGATCTGCACGAACTCAAGACCCTGCGAGTTTGAAATGGATATTTATTTTGAGGGGTGACTTAACATGAAGCTTCAAAAATATTTTAAAAATATTTTCTAAAAAATTGTTTCAAATTGTTTCTTTAAACTTTGACCACGCAAAGCCTATAGGACGCGTAAAAGAATGGCGCACGTCTCACTTTCGTTGAATTCCCTGTTTTTTTCGAAAATTGGAAGAGTTCAAGATTTCCAACCATTTCCTACAACTACAAACTTGAAAATAGATTGTATTCTTAATGAAATTTGTTGTAAAATTGGTTCACGGGATTAGTCAATGTGGTTAGAGAAACAATTGGTTACGCCAACGTTATGAAATATTTAATTTCTTCGTCAGGGCTAAAGTATAAACAATGAACAGTGCATGAGGACATCATACATTACAATAAATTGATTGTTAAATAATTAATACAAAAAAAACCAAAAAATAAAATTATAAACTAGGATAAATAAAACACCAAAATATAGGAAGTACACACCTTACTAATAATCATACAGGTAACGTTTGGTTTTATTTGTGTTAATTATTTAACAAACAATTTATTGTAATTCATATTGTCCACATGCATTGTTCATTGTTTGTACTTCAGTACTGTATCACCACTAGTTTCGATGTGAAAAAAAGCAGTGGCAGTGGAAAAATATATACAATATATTTTGACACTGCTGGTGTCAGATCTGGTCGTTTGAGCGAGACCAGAGTTTATTTCAAAAATTGAAAAATTGAAATTCAATTGAAAAAAAATCTTATTTTTTATATATCGCCTCCAAATTTCAGAGTTAATATTGAAGATAGTTTTTAATTGTATAATGTGTTCAACTACTGGCCCTAAATCTTAAATTTTGAAGAGATTTGAAATAGTAGTCCACAATTAAGCCCTCGGTGGCTCGGTGGTTAGCGTGCTCGCTATCCACGGCGCAACTCCGGGTTGGACTCTCGGCTGGGTAATATTATAACTGTGCACTTTCCTTACAAATGTCCCAGTATCTATTGCTGTGTGACCATGAGATAGCCACTCTAAGGCTGAGAAGACCAGTATATACAGAGGAGAGATGTCTTCGTGCTAACCACACGAACCCTTATCCCATGGCCGAGAGGCTGGGCCACCGCTGGTCGGCCAACGCTCGTATCGGGTTGTCAAGCCAAGAAGAGGTACAGAACAGGTCCACAATTGACAAAGAAATTGGGTTTGATGATGATCAGGTCAAATTGAAAATAAATGTAAATTATGTCGAACATATTTCTAGTTTTCTTACAGGGTAACTAAAAAAGCTTGGCGTCAGTCCAGAGAAGACTATAAAGAATGTTTACAGCCGTGTTTGGTATTTTTATGTTGTCTTGGGCCTATAAACTTTCGGAGCCAGGTGTCATACTGCACACAAGCTGAATGGCAAAAGCTATTTACTCCCTAAAACGTTGCGTGTTCAGGGATCCATTTTCATTAAGGGGCTCCGAGATAGATGCCATCAGAAGAAGTTTATTCATAATTAATGTTTATATCAAAATTGTTGTTTAATACTCCTAAATCTACATTGTCCCCGAAAAGGATTTACAATTATTTAGGAACCTAATTAATTGTGAAAATTGATAGAGAGAGTAGGGTACTTAAAGGCAAAATAAAAGAAGATAAGTATTTTTCGAACAAAGAAATCGATTATTACATAACACCACTAACATTAAAGTTCTTCAAAAGGTTTAAAATTTCAAGCCATTTCTTAAATCCCTAAACGTATGTGTGAAGTGAAGACATGGATCCTTTGAAGAGAAAGGGATTGTCAAACGTTTGAAGGTGGTACACGACACAGCCGAAAGGAGTGTCAATACAGTAAGAACATAACCGTAGATGAAGAGCAGAAGCACTATGTTTTTACTGAATGTGGAATCAGCACTGAGTGAAAATAGTGTTCCGTATTGAAAATTATTTGATAAAAAAACAAAAAAATGCGGGCTGAGGATTTTACGTCAATTTTTCTTAATTAGTGCAATCTATTTTAATTGAAAACTGAACAGTTTGCCGTTGCTATTTTATACAATTACTATTTGTTTGATGTCTCAATGACAATTTTTGAAGATGCATCTGCACTTGCTCTGAACAAACCTCACATTCGTGTCGAAAATTATTCCCAGACACATAAAATGTACCCACTGAAAATTTCTACCGTCTAGTTGATTCTGGTAAAAATCTGACAAATTTTATAAATTCTACCTTTGCATATTCATAAAATATGTTCTAATGTTACTATTTGCTATTTCTGAAAATTGTTTTGTAATAATAAGGTACAATTTTTTAATTAATTATCAATAGCTTTATTTCCTGCGTCTCCAAGATTGAATCGTTAAGGCCCGCAATCCAGCAAGATAAAAAAGTTTTTTTGCACAATATTATTTATAGCTTAAGGAAATGACAACAAGAATGATTTTTTGATAGGATGTCCCCATAAGCAACAAAAAATTAAAAAGCGACAGGGTGGTTATAAAATCAGTACAATATTAGGCGCTATTGGAACTATCTAGTGGTAAAATTTGGAGTTTGTTGCGGCGCACAATCCATTTAAGTTTGCGGTTAGATCATTAGTCACGGAAATTGAATTTGGAAAATACAGCCACACGAATTAAGCTTCTCTATAATGATTTCGTTTGGCGGCTCTCATTTAGCGTGGCTGCTCGGGACAAAAAATATTATGGTAATAAGTCTTCCTTTTCTTTTTACACTTTATATTCATTTATAAGCGCATTTAAAGAATTTCATAAAGAAGGGTAAAGAAAATTTTGAAGAAAAAAATGTTCATCCGTATATTCCAATTCTTTTAACCCATCTGGTTACACACACACACATGTGTGTGTATTAATAGGCATAATTAAAAGGTAATTAATACTAGGTATAATCAAAAGGCAACTTGCGTGAAATATCCGATGCTAAATAACTCCACAGAGTAAAACATTCTTTTTAAAATCCTTATATAGTAATCGAGTAACCTGCATAACGCATGGTTAGACCATTTCCGGTTCATCAATCGTGATAAATGAGATACCATTCAATGTTTCTCGGTCTCCTGCTCAAGAACTAATAATTTTGATTGCCGATCATGCAGAAACTGCTACGTTTATCTAAAAACGTGTTCCTTGGTTTTTAAGAAATAAAAAGGCATTTTTGGTGACGCAACTACGATATTCTGAAAAATCTATATTTCTGATGGTAAGAATTCACTCATTAGATTGACGATAATTAAATCTAATTTTGTAATGAAACAAATATTTAAATATGTATTTTAATCGATACTTTTTCAAGTAACATTCTATGAGCGGAAATGGACGATCCGGAAAATTAAACTTTTAAACATTGAGAAAAAAACGCGGGAGGAGAGTTCTTAAGCTAGTATCAAACTTCACGAATTTGCTAGCGTCCGGCCCACCAAAATTTTACCTCTCTTCCGCTCTGTACGTTTATCAAACAAGTTGTGAGGATGAAATTCAAAGTCATAATCCTTCTTAAAAATATTTTAAAAACCTTGCTAGGACAGCTCCTTCTCATTTTATTGCCAAATATACACTATATTTTGAGAAATATTGCAATTCATTAAAATCTGAGGGCCGATGAGGCATGTCTGAAGGCAGTTTTGATCCAATCGGCAACTTCGATTAACGGTTTAAAGAAATTTCGGAAGTCAACTTCTTGCAACAACCCCAACGTAAATCTTCATTCATTCAATTGATTTACAAGATAGCAGTCTAAAAAGTAAAGGGAAGGAAGATAATGTTCACTTGAAACCTGCATGGATCCAAAGTGGCCTGCAGAACTAGAAATGCATCTGAACAATAACAAAAAAACAAAAAATGGTTTTCCAAAAATTAGCAGGGACACTATTGAAGAAAAATAAGATACTCTCGTTTGACTCTCGAATAAATCAAATAAATAAAAATATTTTGTCTGTCTTATAATGCTGTCTTATAACGCAAAATGTGAATAGCAAATATCTCACGGCGGGGGCCTCTTTCTTGGACCCTTGCTGCCCCATGGCGATAGTTGTGTCGTAAGCAGTGAAGCACAGAGCCCGAGACTTCACAGACTTTAGATATTACGCGTAGTATGACAATAACAGTAAAATACTTCCATTTTTAGTCAAAATGGGAACTTTTTCATATTTTTGGATTTTTCTGATTTACTACTTATTTATTGTGTTATTAAACCATTGACACCTCTCACATGTCTGGAGCCTGCATAGTTTTGTTTCAATTTTTTGGCACAATGGAAATTAGTAATAATTAATCATGGCGCAAATTACGAATGTAAAACTATTTTTTGAGTATAATTAATAATAACATGAACGCTCATCAACATAATAATCATAACATTAATAATAATTATTATAATAATAATACATGCACCAAAGTGCTTTGCAAGGTATAGTTGAAATTATACTCATAGAACGCGAAACATTCTGACGCAATTTTTTTTCCTAATAATATCTCTTTATGAGATTTCTAAGTAGTCCTTGAATGATTTTTCAATGGGATATACCTAGAAGTTATTGTTTATCATGGAAAGGAAGATCGTTTCACTAGATAGAGATGAAGGGTCCGATTCAATACTCACTGGCGTACTCCTTCTCGCCGAAACTTCTTTTGCTGGCAGTCGAGTCCGGCGACGCCGCAAGTTTGGCCACGTCGAATCTCTCTTCGTCCGCCATGGCGAAAACCTTCTCCATTTCTTCATCCAAGTCAGCTCCCGCTTCGACGCCGTGTCCATCTTGCTGTAACAGCATTTCATATTGGGATATCCAGAAGAGTTCTCTCAGGAATTAGAGAAATGTGAAAAATGCATGCGAAATAAGCCCCAACCATCACCAGATTAAGACGTAGTATCAAAATTAAGAAGCTTAGAATTAAATGAACGATAAACTGAAAGGGAAATGATTTAACAAAATTGACGTATTATGTAACACTTTTCGATATTTCGGCATCAATAGTGATTGACAGGCTAAAGTAGTATCTTTAATTTAGTAAGTTTGGCACAGAAAGTGAAACAGTGATGAAACATAATGGGACAAAGAAACGTAACGTTTTGAGAACATGATTTATTTTACGATCGTACATTAAATTATCGAATAATAAATTATTAGAAAATTAACCTGTCAGTAGGTGCTAAGTGAGAAACAAAAGTAAAATCGACTTGCTTCTCAACATTCTTGACATTTGTGGGCAAAAGGATGTGCACCTGATAGGGATTTGCGTCTATGAGTTTCAGGAAGCTACATACATGATTCAACATTTAAAGTTTTTCTGTATTAACAATAATAGTAAGTTGCGACAACTATATCACAAAAGTCCAGGAACTTCCAGAAGAACTGGCTTTATAATTGTGTACAAGAATAGACAAATGATTACATAATTTTAAAACAGAAATGATTTTACATCTGGAAGAACGATGAAATGTCTGACAGAAGAAAACTCCAGAAATGAAAATCTCCCATTGAAAATAAAACCACGAAGAAAATCATAGACGACGCATCTGTTATATGTATGTACAAGAAATTAAAAATTAATGGCAATTAAGTTTTCCGAATAACCTTACATACGCAGCATAAAATTGAATTTATGAAAAATAAATATTAGCGTAGAGAGAAGACGCGTATACTGATTTTTAAGAGGACGCGTTTAAGATAATATACTACGCAGACACCGGTAAATAAAGAAAGGCTTCTTAGAAGTATTTTCGAAGCCAAAGAACTGTTACTCAACAGGAATGTTGTTCGTGTTTGGGTACACAACACGCGATATAGTGGAACAAAGAGGATACGATAAAAAGTTTTAAGGACAAAGGGCCATTCTAATTCCGTATTCACGTACGGGCTTCAGCCCTAGTCCATATCAAGAGGTGTCCTCAAGCAATCTAGTTACACCTGTCCAACTTTTCCAGGCTAAAAGTATGATAGTTGTTTATAACGTGAGGCAGCTATGACGAAATGGAGAAGTGCATAGGAAAGGGAGTTCATTGTGTCATAAATAAAACTTTCATCACCATGCAATTTATTAATTCATGATTGGTTCTGAAACATGCGGTGTCACATTCAACGTAGCTGAAGGAATATATGGAAACTAGGTCATGAGGTAAAATGGAGCGAGACGGCGAAAGCCATATCGGGTCCTACCTTCAATTCATCCTTATGAAATGAATACTAAAAAGGTATAATAATAAACACGATTCCAAATCGCGGTATCCGTATATAATGCGACAGGCTCAGATATAGGAAGCATGCATTTGAAGGAGAGAGTCGCATGCCGAAAATGTTACCCGGTCCGTCATATCAACGCCGTGCCGAACGTTCCTCGTTAGCGCTTTACATTTGACCCGGCAGATATCACAGCTTCAGGGTCAGCAGACCTCGTCTGCGGCACGGGTGCTGTGGCAGGCGCGGCGGGGGCGGCACGGGGGCAGCGAGACAGCGGGCAGGGGCGAGGGAGGCGGCGGGGCGATGCGCGGTGTGCAAGCGCAGGCTCGCCGTTCGCGGCGGCGACGGCGGCGACGGCGGCGACGGAGGCGGCGCGATCGAAGCCCGCCGTCGGCGCCACAGCTGGCCGAACTGACCCGCCGCATGAGGCCTACGCCAACCAATCAGCTGGTGCGCGGGCCGGTCGTCGCGGCCGGGACCGGGAACGGGTCGCGGGCTCGCGGGCGCCGCAGGGCGGATCCGCGGGCACCCGCACGTCGCCCAGTGGGTTGCGGGGGCGCTGTGCGCGACGGACGCCGACGGAAGTCGTAAGGCGGCGTGCCGGCCTGCGAACCCTAGCGCGCTGACACACTGTACGGAACCGCCGACCTCCCTCACGCGACTTTCGTGTGCGCGGAGGCGGCGCTCACTATCGCGTGGTGAGGAAAGCGAAAGCGTGAGTTGACGCGAGCCGGATAGCGTGCCACGGCACGGTGACCGGCGTACGACCAACAAAACATACATCGTCTACGTGCCATAAAACGGTTTCGCGGCCACTATAAAAGCGCTATTGACTCACCTGTTGGCGGCCGAACGACTTGCGCAGCCAGCGAATGACCTTCCCGCGTGCTCTCTGGAGGAAAGACCTGT